CCATCAGGTGGGCAGAAGCTCTCGCACCCCTGGGGCACACGCAGTGGGACAGCCTGGCTCGGCCCCTCACCTGCCTTCCCCAGGTTGGCAGCCCCCAGCTAGCACTCAGGCATTAGGCAGGTGGGCTCTGTCCCACCGTGTATAGGCACAGCTGGCCTCCTGTGTTCTATCATCTTTCCTTTGCCTTGGGCCCTGCCCTGGCTGGTTTGTGCTCCAGAGATGCCTCTCTAGCCCAGCTCTAAGCTTCCACGGCCTCCTTCTGTGCAGTGTCCATGTGAGCCCCATTGCTACATGGCAGGATTATGTCTCTCCAGATCCTCCCAACCCTTCCCAGCCTTGGTGCCAGTTGGTGCCACCAAGCATCTGTTTCCCTAAGCCCTTGCTTTTCCCTACTCTGCTCACAGGTATCTTCAGGAGTATGCAGCACTGGGCACGGGTGGTGGCATCTATCACTTCCGAGACCAGATCCTGTCAGGTGGTGCTGAGGCCTTCTTTGTCCTCAATGCAGACGTGTGCTCAGAGTTCCCCTTACAGGAGATGCTGGAGTTCTGGCAACAGCACGGGGACATGCACAGCTTTGTCATTCTGGGTACCACAGTGAGTGGCAGTGTTGGGGAGCAGAAGAGCTGCAGTGCTCTGCCATGGGCTTAGAAGCCAGTGGCTCTGGTGGTGGGTGGGTCCTGGGCTGTGAGCTCTGGGTTTCGTCTGCTCTGCATCGGCTTGCCCAGTGCTCCACCATTCCTTACATGTCCTTGCTCCATAGGCCAACAGGACACAGGCACTGAATTACGGCTGTATCGTGGCGAATGCGGACACGCAGGAGGTACTGGAGGGCCTTAGGGAGCTGAGCACAGCGTGGGCAGTGGGTGCTGCGCTGCCTGCGTGGGCGCGCGTTCCCAGTGCGACATAGAGGGTGTGACGCTGGGCGTGGGGGCTGCGCCCCAGGATTCACATCTCTTCTCTTGCCTCCAGGTCCAACACTATGTGGAGAAGCCCAGCACGTTTGTCAGTGAGATCATCAACTGCGGCATCTACCTCTTCACACCTGCCATCTTCCAGCATATTGGCGAGGTCTTCCAGAGGAACCAGCAGGAGCTAGCACTGTGAGTGCCTCACTCTGCTCTGTGTCCCTCCCACCCCACTGCTTCCCGGGGCTGCAGCAGCACACTCATCCTCCATTCTTTCTCTATCTTTTCTCCTCCTCTGCCATCACTCACTCGTTTCCTGGTCCTGCACCAGCTGTCCTTACCTTGGGTAAGTCTCCCTCTGTGTCTGTACTGGCTGCTCTCTGGGCCGGATCATTCCTGGTGATAATGCATGCTTCCCTCCTTCCTCCAGCCTGCTCTTTCCTCTGCGCCCCTCCTGGCCAGCTTGACTCCCCCTCTCCCTTCCTCTTCTCCCACCCCATTTTCATTCAGCTCTGGATGAGGGACTGAGCAAGTCTTTCACCTGGGAATGCTCTGCTCCCCTCCAGCTTTTTGTGCCAGCCAGCCTGTCACCTATCATCTCTGCCACCACCAAAGCTAAACTCCAGCTGTGCCAAGCTCTGGATTGGGGGCAGGATCATTCACCCACATGGACTGGGTGGGGCTCTTGCACCATCAGCTTCTGGCTCAGAGCTTATTTTGGCTGGCAGAGCCCCATCCCTCTGCTGCTCTGGTGCTCAGTGGAACTGTCCTGGCCTAGCCCCATGGCTGGCACTGTCCCCAGCTTTGGGGAGAAGTGCATGGCTAGGTAGGAATCTGGGTTTATCAAAGCCCCTGAATTTGGGGAGGGTAGCTCTGCCAGGGTCCTTAGCCAAGGAATGGAGTGTCTAACAGGACTCTTTCTTGCAGAGAGGAAAGCTCCAATGGCTGGCAGCGTGCAGAAGTGATCCGGCTAGAGCAGGACGTTTTTACAGCACTGGCTGGGAGTGGCAAACTCCATGTCTACAAAACTGATGGCTTCTGGAGTCAGATCAAATCAGCTGGGTAAGGGCTGAAGGCAGAGTTGGTGCAGCAGGAGCATCAAGTGATCCATATGAGGGATGGGAGAGGAGGGTGCTCAGGCAGGACCCTGAGCGTAGGTGGGCGGTGCTGATTTTGGATCTTCCTTCTCTGCCCTGGTAGTGCCAGAGTGACAATAACAATATTTTGCTTTTCCTTCTCCAGCTCTGCTATCTATGCCAGCCGCCTTTACCTGAACCAGTACAGCAAAAGCCACCCAGAGAGACTGGCCCAGAACAAACCTGGAGGCCCTGTCATCCGAGGTACCTTTCTGACTTGCTAATGCCTTTGGGGCTGCCTTGGGAGGCAGTGGGACCCATGAGCAGGATCTCCCTTGATCTAAGAGACAGGTGCTCCTGTGAGCTGCCTTTGCTGACACCACTGCCTTGTGTTGCAGGGAACGTGTACATCCACCCGACAGCTTCCATTGACAACACTGCAGTGGTGAGTGCAGGCTGGGGGAGCCCTGGAGCAGGGAGACACTCAGGGGTGCCAAGGGCATTATTGTCCTCCTTGCCCTCATCACCTCCCTCTGTCCTCACAGTTAGGCCCCAATGTCTCCATTGGGGAGGGGGTGACAGTGGGAGCTGGTGTGCGTGTGCGAGAGTCCATTGTACTGCACGGTGCCTCACTCCACGTAAGTAGGATTTGCCTGAGGGAGTGGGTATCAACCCCCACTCCTTGCAGGGAGGCAGCTGCACTCTGCATTCCCCTTTCCTTCACCCCAGGACCACACCTGTGTCCTCAATACCATTGTGGGCTGGGACAGCACCATTGGGCGCTGGGCCCGGGTTGAAGGAACGCCCAGTGACCCCAACCCCAATGATCCCTATGCCAAGATTGACAGCGAGACCCTTTTCCGGGATGGACGCCTCACACCATCCATCACGATCCTGGGTATGTCCCTGCTGCACCAAATGGCGCTGCTCAGCGAGGCAGTCTCTCCCCGCCTGCTAACGTCCTTGCATTCTCCCTGCAGGCTGCAGTGTCACCATCCCTGCTGAGGTCGTTATTCTCAACTCCATTGTCCTTCCTCACAAGGAGCTGAGCCGCAGCTACAAAAACCAGATTATCCTGTGAGTCAGGGGCCAGCACCAGCCACCCACTCCCTGCTGTGCCCCACAACAAGAGCCTGTGCCCTCTTGGGAGGTTCCCAGTACCCCCAAAGGAATAGGTACAGGCCAGGAGCCCTGCAAGTGCCTGACTACTGCTCCAGACAGACATTAAAGCTGGTGAGCATCAGCCTTGTGTGCTGCTTCTCTTGCAGCCCAGGGACCAGCCCCAGGCCAGGGTGAAGGCTTCAGGGACAGCATGTGACCCTGGCACCAGCCTGCCTACCTGTGTAGGGAGCACTTGCTGCCTGCAGTGTTGTGGATCCAATTTTGGGTGTTTCTCCACCAAAGGGCACTAACAGCACCACATTGACACTCCTCACCAGGCTCTCCCTGCATCATTTGCTGTCTGCATCTCCCTGGAAGGTCTTGGCCCATCTTAGAGACCAAGGAGCTTTGAATGGGCCTGTCCTGTGTAGGCAGCTCACCCCACAGGAGCCAGTTGGGAGCCTCCTGATTTCATCAGTGTGATTGCAACTGCCTGAGCTGGGCTCCTGCCTACTACTGGGAAAACAGTGCCAAGCTGTCCTAAGGGTACTGGCACACAAGGGCTGGGTTAGACTCGAAGGCTGCTGGCCCTGGAGGGAACTGCAAGAGCACCCCTTCCCCTAGCACAACCTCTTCCCCCATGGGCTCAGTGCAAGCCAGAAGAGCTGCCAGCCTTGCCAGGCCTGCTTCTGTCAGGCTGAGACCTGTGTCTGCTGCCTAGGCAGGGCTCAGAGTGATGGCAGCAAGCCTCTGCCACCCTGGTGGGCCAAGAGCCTCCTTCACACCAGCATGGCTGTAGGTTGGGGGGCTCACCGCACGTCTCTCTCTTGCACTAGCCACATTCACAGGGCACCAGAGCAATCAACTTACATGTGTAGAGGTGCCAGAGATGTAGCACCTCGCTTTGTCTCAAAAACCTGATTTTATTGAAGCACAGGCTCTCTATTGTAACCAACACTGCCTTTTATCCATTTACCCCCATTTTTGAGCTCTGTGCTAAAGCCCTGCACTGCACCGAGGGCCCCATCATGCCTCTCACCTTCAGTGAGACGCCACATTAGATATTCTCCATTCATCCAGTACCACCCCAGCTCAATGGATTTGCAGTAAATCCTTGCTCCCAGCCCTGTGCCTTCCTGTGCCAGTTCTCCTGTGGTCCTGGGCGGGGATTAGCTGTTCCCTGGCTTTAAGCACATTAAACTCCTTCAGTTTTGCCTCTGCCTTGGATGTGTTAATTTTCTTGCCCTGTGGTGTACACTCCTGCGCTGGGGAAAACTGAGCCAAAGTACTTGCTTTCAAGATTGTACATGAATTTTCTCCCATGTGCCACATCTGGTCCAGCTTTTAGTAGGGACAAAGGTTTATCAGCTGCTGGATGTGACCATGGGGCAGTTCTCAGCCCTGTTGTGTAATGACCCTTTTCTCTAAGTTCCCCCTTGCACAGAGCTGTCTGGGAGATGAGCCCTTCCTAGTATCTTGCTCCATTACAGCATCATTCTGCTTTCCTGTCTTGGAGGGAAAGAGCTGTACATTCCAGTGCTGCTTGGGCTTTGCAGCTCTAGCGCCAGGGCTGGAGGAGAGGAAGGGGTTAAAGGGGCCTCCGCTGAGGCGCTAGGAAGTCTGGAAACACTTTAAGGTTGTCCTGCCCTGAGCAGGACAGCTCCAATTACTTGAGGCCAACATCTGAGCTCATAGAGGGGCCTCCCACATCCTGGTCTCCAGGGCAGGAGAGGAGGGATTCAGCTCAGGTGGAAGGAGGCCTTGTCTGCCCTACCAAAATAGGCATTGCTTACACCTGTGCTGACTGTACAGCTCTTGTCGACTGCCCAGCCAGGCTCCATCATGCCCATGCTCCCTAACCCCTGGTACCTGGGGTGCCAGCAGCAAGGAGGGACAGACAGCAGCCACAGCCAGGTGTGTTTTGCTGCAAACATTTAATAGAAACCTGACAAAGTACAGCACTGGGGTAGCATCCCTGCCACCATGGCTGGGCAGAGCCAGCTCTGCTCCCCAGCCCCGAGGGAAGCACCCCAGGGAAGCAGAGCAGAGCTTCGAGCTCAGCACTGCCACCCCACAGGCAGCCTGCTGCTGCAGGCTTTGCTCCTCCTCCAGTGCCAGCTCCATGTCCCCAGGGAGCCACTGGTGCAGGCTACACTGGAGAAGGGAAGAACCGGCCCACCTTCCTCGGGGCCGGCCCCTGCCTGCGTGGGGAGAGATGAGTCAGGGGTGCAAAGTGAGCTCCCCTGGGCTCCCACCCACCCCTGGCAGCACTCACGGGGGCTGGGTGGCCGTGCCCACGCAGCTCCGCAGGGTGCTGGGGAGGCAGCAGGTACCAGCTGGGCTCAGCTGGCCTGGCTTGGGTTCCAGAGAGACAATGGGGTGGAAGAACAGCTCTGTAGGATAGAGTGGAGACAGCTATCAAACCCCAGCCATGGACAACCAGGACCTTTCAAAGAAGCCACAAGGCCAAGGCAGGAGGGGTTGGGGCTCTTGTGCCTCACCACGTTCACCCCCTGGGGCTGGCATCGGCACAAGGTTCTCCTGCTCTGTCCCCACAAAGCCTCTCCAGAAGTCAGGTGGCAGCGAGAGGAGACGAGCCACCACCTGGGCAGAGAGGGATGTAGGACAGGGATGCTGGCAGTGCCCAGGGTACACCCCACACCTCAAGGACCCCCTCACCTTGCACTGCCGCGGTGTGTCCTCCATGATGGCAAGTGGTGTGGGGTTGGCTGAGCTGTGTCCTACCAGCGTAGGACCAAACACACGGGACAGGTTGAGCACGTCCATCTTGCAGTCGGGGCTGCGCGATACCCTGCAAGTGGGGACAGAGGGTGTGAGCATGCTGCCCAGCCAAGGGGCCCCTCATCCACAGCTTCCCTGCTCTAGGGCACAAAGCTTGGGTGAGGGGCAGAGAGCCAGAAGATGGGGACAGAACCCACACCAGGATGATCCACTCACTTGAGCAGGTGCAGCATGAGAAAGGCCAGGGTGTCCCTGTTGGCTGGGGGCAGCTTGCTCACCACGTGCCGCAGGGCTGTGTCACAGGCAGCATCATCCAGGATGTCTGTGGTGGCACCAGGGATCACTGTTAGAAGCAGCCTCTTCTTCTCTCATGTCCCACACCTTGGGACCCCTGCTCACCAGCAGCACTCAGGAAGGCAGGGTGGAGGCTGAAGGTAACCAGTGGTTCCTTGAGGCCCCGCAGAAAGTCCTTGAGCACACCACACACCACGTGGATGTCAGTCACACTGCTGAGGGCGGGCAGCGCACCCCCAGCCCGCAGCAGCCTCCTCTTCCACTCCCGCACCAGCTGCTCTGCACCCGGCACCCGGTACAGCCCTGTCTGGGGCACAGGGAGAGAAGCTCAGGCCCATAGGAACCACAGCATCAACCACCTCCACCATCCTAGCCCCTACCTCTGTCAAGCCTCGAGTCTCCACCTCGGTCACACACTGAACCACCAGCAAGGGCACCAGGGGCCTCATGGAGGGGGCGAAGTCAGCCAACACACCCTGGGGAGGACAACGTTGACCCACTCTGTGCCCACCACCCAGCCCTGCAGTCAGGGTGGGCAGAGGCCCAGCATCCTGGGGCTGATAGCCCCAAAGCCCCATGGGGACATGGAGCAGCCCCCACGCACTGCTGTGCCCCCTCACCTCACGGGGCCAGGTGGGGTGGCGAGGCCGGGGTGCACAAGGGTTGGGGCACTGCTCCCGACACTTGGTGTGCAGCAGCAGCTGGCACTGACAGCACTTGATGGCAGTCTTCCCAAAGCGGATGCGGGAGCCACAGACACCACACGGCTCAGGGCGGATCACCTGGAGAGGACGGCAGGGTAAGGGGCCCCCCTTCTTGCAGATACCCAGTACCACTCCTTTATCTTCTCTCAGTCAGCCCCCACTACCTCCATCCATTCCCCCTGCAGACAGAGCTAAGAGGGTGGGGGATAGAGGAGACCCTTCCCCCCCCCAAACCACGACCCTCTCCCCTTGCCTGCCACCCAGGATGAGAGAGGCTGGGACTCAAACCGTTTTGGATGTGAACTGGTGCTGGACTGTTGGGAGGCTCTGTGGAGGTGAGGGGAAGGGGGCTGGTGCTGGCTGCCCCACTGAGCTACCCTCAGTGTGGCTCTCCTGCCCCGGGGCACGGCAGCCATGAGCTTCACTGGTGCTGCACGCCGTGGTCAGCTCTTCAGAGGGAGGAGGTAGTGGAGGGAGACCTGAAAGGCAAACCATCCCATCTACCAGCTGGCATGTGGGGAGGGGCTTTTCAGCTCTCAGGGAACCTCTGCATGGGACAGTGGCATTTGGCATGTCCAGAGGACATGTGACAGCAGCATCCTGAGGCTAGTCCCCCATCACCCACCAACCCTCTCCTCAGCCCTTCCCATGACCTGCACGCATGGATACACGGTGTCCCCGGCAAGATCGGCGGCGTGGGACCAAAGCAGTGGGCAGGAGGCTTCCAGCAGGGCCTGGGACCTCAGCAGGAGGGGGCATAGAGGGGACACTTGCCTGTCAAGATAGGAGGCAATGAGAAGGTGCCTGTCCGCAGCCCCACAGTTCTCCAACATCTCCCTCATGATCTCTGCTCCACCCAATCCACATCCCTGTGGTCCTCCAGAGCCAGGGATGCTGTCCCCACTGGGGCCAGGGTGACACAGCAGACCCCATAGAACCCACAGGACTGAAGGCTGCAGCATTGCCTTCTGGCACTGGGACAGCCCATGCACCCCATTCCTGCTCAGGGCACGCTGAGGTCCCTACTCACAGCATTATGGGGTATCACAGAAGAACGGTGCCTCTTTGCCATCACAACAGGGCCAATCTGAGGGGCCAGGGACACATGCTAGAAACAGAGAAAACAGTGTGAAGAGCAGGCAGAGACCTCTCCCTGACTTTGCCCCACACACCAGATCACTCAATCAAGTGGCCCCCAGCCCAAAAAAAAGTCCCAGTCTCATGTCACCCCCCCAGCATTGCCTGCCCCACACCAGGCACCTTGGGGACTCAGGCCCCCCTCCGGGCTGGAGCCAGCCCTGGGGCTGGGGGAGGCTAGGCCAGGCCTGCAATGCAGAGGTGCAAGCGGAGCAGGGTGCGGGATGCCCACATATGGGGATGAATTATTGAGGAGCCCAGCTGGGCCACAGTGGAGCATAATGGAGTTTCTATTGATCGCGGGAGGTTTGCCGAGAGACGATGCTCCCAGCCCAGCATCAATAAATTAAACCCCCTGCCAGGCTCCTTGCAGCCTCTTGTGCTGGGATGGATAAGTATCTGGGTGCCCTCACCTCTCATGGCCCAGGGCCAGTACCCCAATCTGGGCTGTACATGAGGATCTGAGTGGGAAGAGGGACCCAAGGGCACATTACCTTGGGATCAGAGCTGGGTGATCCTTACCCACAGAGGGGCACAGACCCCACCTCAACACCAGCCCCCAGGGCTCCCGGAATTTCCTTCATACCTGCCTCTCCGGGGCTTTGCGCTTCAGGGTCCGCACCACCGTCATATCAACATCCTGAAAGGCAGCAAGGAGTCTAGGGGCTGGCAAGGCCAGGGACAACCCCAACATTCATCTCTGGCTCTGACAGCAGCCCACCCCTAACCACAGACATGCAAAGGGGCTGCTCCACTGCAGAAGTGGGGTAAAAACACCCCCTCACTGCTGGGGTGAACCCCAAGAGTCACAGCAGGACACTCCTTACCACATCATCCTCGGTGCGGTCATAGCTGATATCTGAGTGGGACAAGAGGGACTGGCACGACTCGTCCACTGCAGATGACCTGCAGAGTGAGCTCAGCTGGAGCAATTCCCCCCTCAGCCAGCACCTACTCATACAGCTGCTCCTGGGAGCTCATGGCTGATGCCTCTGCAGAGCCCAAGCATCCCCATGCCCAACCAGCCCCTCAAGGTGAGCAGCAGTGAGGGGGAGAGGGGCACAGCCAAGCCCAGGGCTGCCCGAGGGGCTGAGGTCTGGCAGCCCTGCTCACCTCCTGCCCGGTGCCAGGGTCGCCCCGAGGCGCCGGCCGGCCAGGGCGCTGAGAACAGAGCACTGGTTCCTGCTCAGCATTTCATTGCCCCATGGCTCCCGCATCAGAGACTCAAAGACCAGCTGAAGTTTGCGCTCCTGTAAGTGAAACAGGGTGGTGGTGAGAGGGCTGGGGTCCCCGCAGCCAGCCCTGCGGGGTACCCCTGTGGCCAGCCCCCTGACCTGCTTCTCCAGCTCAGCCTCTGCCCGGTGCCGCTTCTTCATCTCCACCTCTACCTGGTTTCGGGCATGCTTGAGCTTCACCTCCAGCGCTGCCCGCTCGGCCTCCACACGGGCCAGCTTCTCGCGGGCACGACGCCCGTCCTGCTCCAGCCGGCAGCATCTCTGGCGTGTTGCCTCGAAGCACCGAACGATCCGGATGTAGTCTGGGGGCAAAACCAGCGGGTGGCCAGACGGGAGCGGGGCAAGCTCCCCCAAACCTCGATGGAGACAGGGGTTCCGGGGTGCCCTGGGCCGAGGGGCTGCACACACCCACCTTCCTCCACGCTGCCGCCGAGCTCCAGCAGCTGCAGCCCCTGCTCCAGCCGGGCCAGGAGCCGCCCGCAGCGCTGCCGCAGCATCCCGACGCCCGGGACAGGAACCCCGCAGTCAGGCAGCACAGCACCCCTTCCCCCGGATCCACCCGCAGCTTCTGTACCACGCTCTCCTCCGACCACTGGGATGGGCCGTGCGCCCCCGGGACGGCGCAGGCTCAGGGGGCGAGGGGCCCTCTCGGCCGGCCTATGTGGGCCGGGGGCCGGGGTGGAGCCCGGCCCGGCTCCGCCTCCGCCTCCCGCCGCCACCGGGCCCGACCCGCCGTCCCGGCTGCTGCCGGCGAGGGGGAATGTTCCAGGGATCTTTAGGCATGGAATGCCCCGGGGTGCGGAGGCAGGACTGGCTGCAGGGGTGCGGAACAGGGTGAGGGTTGCCTTTGGGGGCGGAGGATGCCCAGGCACTGGATGTACCTAATGAGAGCACTTGAGCAGTGCAGGGTCAGTGGGTGCGGGGTGCTCGGGGGTGCAGGAGCGTCGGCGGGAGCACTGGGCGCGGGAGACATTGGGGGGGTGCAGGGATGCGGGAAGGGGCACGGCTTCCCCAGCCCCGCATCCCGGGAGGGGCGCAGATGGGGGCGGAGGAGCCGGAGGAGCCGCTGCCCCTGTCCGCTGTCCCCCAGCACTGTGCCCCGCATGGAAAGCGGCGGGCGGGGGCGGCGAGGATCCCCCGCACCGGGTCTCCCGGCCGGGTCCGTGTCCTGCAGATGGAGCCACCTTCCCGCCGCAAAGCCCCGCCGCTGCCCGCGCTGTCCGTGCTGTGCCCCCGGGTCCCCTGCACGGGGACTCCCCAGGGCAGCCCCCCGCCCCGCACCCCCTCTCTGCCGCAGCCCCCGGGTCCTGGCGGCCCTGCGTTCTCATTGGAGGGTCCAGGCAGGGTGCGGGGGGCACCGACGAAAGGCAATTCCCCCTCCCCAGTGCCTGTCCCGACCTGCTACGAATACCAGGAATAGCAGCGGGGCTGGCGGCAGGGCTGGGCGTGCAAGCCCCTGCACACACACATACAGACACACAAACACCTCGCAGGCCCCTCGCCTGCCTTCACGCCTCCGCGGCTGCCTCTGAACTGGAGAAGGGGTTTTACATCCTGTGGACATGTGGCAGCAGGTCCACCCCAACACCCCGGTGCTTCTCAGGAGTGCCTGTGGATTCAATAGGCTCCTCTCCCTGTGTCAGTCCCTCATTGGGCCCAGACAATGACAAGAAAGGGGCATGGGGGAGCACTACCACATCCCAGGGATGTGTCTCGGGCACATGGGGACAAAATAGCCAGGGTCCAGAGAATAGCTATAGAGTCCAGACAACATGGACCCCCCCTCAAGGGCTGAACCTCATCAGCATTCACAAGCGGGGCTGTGTGATGCTGGGGACACTGGCAAGAATGCTGCCTGATGGGTGCTGCTGCCTGGGCCCCAGGCAGTCCCAAAGCAGGGTCCCTCTTTGGGACAGAGCCCATCTACCCAAAGGGATGGGCTGGAAGCACCTTGGCAAGGCTTTGCTGCACACCATGCCAGCACACGGGAAGCAGAGGGTGTTTCTCAGAGAAGCTCCTTCCTTCCAAGGTTGAATATGAGTCAGGTTTTGGAGCGACTTTAATTACTGCTGGATCGATAGGCTCAGCATGGCCAAGCAAAATCCAATTGCAGCCCCGGGGGCATTCCTGCTCAGCCCTCCCCTGCGTGCCCAGCCCTCCCTGCCTGCCTCTGGGGAGGCACATGCTCCCTGGCTGTGGATGGCCCCCAACCCCACTGGCCCAGCACCCACCCACGAGGTTAGACCCCATCCTGCATATGGAGCCAGCACCCCACCTGCTCAGGTCTCGTAGGGGACATGCATTTCCCGGTCAGGGCAGCAGACGGAGATGCCCCAGCCCTGCCAGCACTGCCTGGGGAAACCCACACACCCCTGAGCCCCTTTCCACACCACACATGGAGCAGGCCTGTGGTCTCCAGATTCACCTTGCACTCTGGATACAAGCCTGGAAGCCCCCAGAAGGTCAGAGCAGCCTTGGCAGTATGCAGACAGCCCCTCTTATGCCCAGGGATGGGAGGGGGGCACTTGCCACCCAGTCTGTGTCCCCACCACTGCCTGTTCCCCCCTCCCAAGCCACCCTGGCTTGGCCAGGCACTGCATAAATAGCTGTTTGTGTCTCTGCTCGGCCTCTGCGTGGGAAATAATATCGGCTGATGGAACATAATGCCCTGCTTCACATGTTCAATTTTATCATTTTCCGAGGCAGGCAATCTTCGTTTAAAGCTGAATGGGCTGGGGAATGTTAATGAAGCGCCGGCGCTGCTCTGCACCGCGCTTTATCTCTTCGAGAATAATTTGGGTGAGCTCGGAAATAGAGTTCCCAGTCCCAATTCAAGTGGCGGCAGCACCGCATGCCGATAAAAGTGTAATTCCTGGCCAGCGCATGGCCCTGAATACATGACAACTTAACTCTTGGAGCCCCGCTGGGATGGTGCTGTCTGCATCTGCCTGCCTGCCTGCTTTGGGTCTGTCTGACCCGCATGCCCAGCACCAGCCTGGGTGCTCAGCCCAGGCAGGATAGGGTCTGTGACTCCCACTCACCCTGGCCACAGAGCAAAATGTGTGGGCCAGGGAAGAGAGATAAGAGGGCAGGAGCAGAGCTGGAGGAAATCAGTCTCCCTGGACAGACAGGACCCCACAGGCAGATCTTCGTCAGTGCCAATCTGCTGGGGGCTTTACTGGGAGAGGGATGCCCCAGATCCAGGGATGACCATGCACTGGGGTCAGGGAGGAATGAGGAGAGGGAAGGGAGTAGGGGCAGGGCTGGAGAACCAGGCAGGAGGGAGAGAAGGGGAGATAGGTTCAAGAAAGAATCCCATCCCAGACAAACTGGCAGAGCTGGGCAGGTGCTTGCAGGCCTAGGCACACAGTTGAGTGAGGGACTCTGCCAGGAAGGGCCCTAGGCCCTGGAGATGACTGAGGGGAGCAAAAAGAATTTGTAGGAGGTGTTTGTTGGTCCTGGAAGGAGAAATTCAGGTTAGCAGGAGTAGGCAGCTTTGGCCCCAAGGGGAAGGTCTTAGGTGGTCTGCCTGGTCTTGATCTGAGCCCAGCCATGGTCTGTCTCCAGTTCTCACCAGCCAGCGGCAGTTCCAGTCTCTAGTTCTCCCTTGCATCAGGTCCTTGTGCAGGGTGACCCTGGGGTCCTGCCTGACCCTCACCATACTGCACCCAGCTCCCATGGGTTCCAGAAGCAGTAGATGGGCAGCACAACACCCTCAGAGTGATAGTCCCTCATGTCCTGGACCACCCCATTCCAAAGATGCTGAGAAGGGGGTACCTTGGCCTAGCGAGGGGTCAGCAGAGCCACTTGGGCTCCAACCTGGGCCACCTCTGGTGGGGCAGTAACAGACCCTTTCCCTGGGAATGCGTGGGGCGGGCAGGTTTCCAGTACCGTTAATCAGGGCTGCAAGAGCTGGGATTAATGTGCACTTCAAGGCTCTCCAGTCCCAGCTGTGATCCAGCCCTCTGCTCTCAGCCAGAGCCGCCTCCACGCGCTGAATTATCAGCCTGAGTAATTAAGTGGAGAGCTTTGTTTTAATGCAGACATCTGATGCCTTCGCACCGAGGAGCACAACAACTGTCGCGGGTGTTTATGCTCCGTGCAACACATCTGGCTCACAGGGAGAGAATCCATCTCCACCACTGTGTAAGATTAAAGGGAATGCGGCCTGGGTGCTGAGAGAGGAGGGATAGCTCAGCAGCCAGCATGGTGGGCAGGACCCGTCCTGGAACATCACCTCACCAGGTCCTTGCATCCCACCAGGAAGACTCTGGTCCAGGGCTGCCTGGCAAAGCACCTGTCACCTCCACTCCTCAGCGCACAAGGCAGCACAACACATTGCGAGATGAGGGATAATTACAAGCTTGGAGATAAATGGAAATAGGGCAAAATAAAACACGGGTTTATCAGAAGTAGATGGTGCCTGGCTCACCTGATACCTGCTGCTGATAAGGGAGCTGGTTATGCGGGGAGGAGGGATGCAGATCTCAAAGCAGCAGCTGTGCCATGCAGAAAATTGTTGCTTTGCACAGATTAGGGGATTAGCACCAGTGCAAGGAGCTGGAAAGAGGCTGGTGCGGGAAGTAGCTAGACTGCAGGGAGAGAGAAGATAGCATATAGGGGAGAGCATCCTGCTGGGACCACTATGGATGCGCCTCATTTAATAGCTTCCTCTGTTGCCCGAAAAGTGGGGGCTGTGGGGAAATCTGCTGATGCCACACAAACACAGATCTTTTCTCTCTGCTTGGCCCCTGAATCATTGTGCTTTGATCATCACACCCACCTGGGATGCCTGAATAGTCTCATGGATTTAGTGGTTTTCTTCTGGGGCAGCTTGGCTGGCCGGGCACCAAAGGTGAGCTGTGCCATCACGAAGGAAGCTTCTCCCCCAGCTTCCTCCAGGATCTCACAGCACCCAACACTTTGTGGGTGCTGACAGCAGAAGGATTCCCTCAAGCCCTGCCCCGTGGCAGGGCTGTTTCCATCAGAGAGCCTGCCATCACCTCCAGCACCTCCAGCCCCTGTCTGCTTGGCGCTGCTGGACAGGGAAAGGGGCTGTAGGGGACAGAAAGAGGGACTCCTCAGTCAGGGGAAAAGAGACTCCAGCTGGGAGTGTAACTGCTGCATGTGGTGCTCCCAGTGTGAACATCAAAGGAACCCCACTGTGAAAAAACAGTTTTCAAGGAGAAACACTCCAGGCGGTTTCCAGCAAAAAGCATGCTCTGGGCTGCTCCCCCACTGAGCCAAACATGTCAAAATTTGGCAGGGGACCTCTGACACTGTACTGATCTGGTCAAGGAGCAAATGCCATTGCAGTTGAACAAAGCTGCCTTCCCGAGGCTCATCTGGCTCCCTGTGGTGTCGAGCAGCTGGGGCTGGCACAGCTCTGCTGCCCAGCAGGGCTGCTGGTGGGAACCACGTGCTGGGAGATGCTGCGCCTGGACATAGGGGCACTCGAGAGGCTTTGGCAAGATCTGGTGACAAAAGCAGAGTAAGGGGAGTTTGGAGGGGTGGCACAAAGCCATCCAGCTCTCTGGCAGCCTGGGGTAATTTGAGGCTGGGAAATGTGAGCTGAAGCAGCAGGGGCCACACAGCCACCTCCGGGCAAGCAGGCTGATTTATTGCCTGCATGAGCCG